GAAGCATTTCAAATCAATAGGAGAAGGGGCAAATATTGTTTGATGAAAATGATATCGTGTTCAAGCCATTCGTTGATATAAATTCGTGATTATCTTGTTCTTGGCGTTGCCGGTTCTTGTTTCGTGATTTCTACTCCAACCCGATGAAGTTTTACAACAATAAGCTCAATGTCCCCACTATCATTTACGTCACATTACATGAGATCAATGTGACGTAAGTATTGTAAATGAATAGCATTATTCTATTGCAAATATCAAGTCCAAGTGCAAAGAAATCGAGTCCAATAATAAGTAGATCAATCACTTGCCTCTGTGCTCGTGTGGTGGGAGTGGTAAGTAGAAATAATTTGATGGATGTTTTTCAGTGTCTACATTTGAAAAGTTTGGTAGGAATAGTAAATTGAATTATTGTAGCTGAAGATTTTTCAGTAGTGGCCGACAGAAGTGAGGGCACTGGAAAGTGGGAAAGTTTAATCTTGCTTCTTTGGGTTTTGGCTGATATGTTATGTGAATATGAAAGAATAGCATGATTTGGCTGATATTTTATTTTATTTTTACTTGGTACTAATGAACAAGATTAAAGAAATATGGAAAGTAAAATTTGGTATTAATTCTCAAGTACATTAAAAATGTTTATAGATTCTAAACTTACTTTTAAACTTTCTTTGTTCTCAAAATACTGTTCTTTTTTTTTTTAATTTATTTTTTCACATCTTTCGTACTTCAGCTAGGAATTTTTCGGTTCAGGGACTGGAGAGAGAGGGCCAAAATTAGTTTGATTTTTTCGCAATGCATCTTTTTCATTGAAAAACCATTAAGCAAAGAATTTAAAGGAATAAAAGATGTTTGCTTGAAATGAGTTTAATAATAATTTTTAATTCTCATGTTATTGTAACATCTTTTTGGATTATTCCCGGACTATTTTCTTCTTTCATCCATGTACATTCTTGGTATGCATATCGAAATAGTAATGGTAAATTTGAAACACAACTTTTAGATAGAAAACCTTTAAATAGAAAGAAAGTTCAAATCAATAAGCCAACGATGGTTACTAGAACTTTATTTTTTATCTTTTAATTTTCATTTTTTGTCACATCTTTCGATTTATATTTGGGCTATGCTTTTTCTTGTCAACATAGGTTCTTAGTTCCGTATTGAAGTATTAATGACAAACTTCGCAATGCATATTTCTAAATGAAAATAAAGACAAATTTAAAATAACGAGTCAAAAATGGCTACAAAAATGGATGTACAATTTAATTTTTTTTATCTTTTATTCTTATTATAATGTAACATTTTTCGACTTATCTTCTGGCTATACTAACTCAACTGGGTATGTTATGGGTACCATTTTCAGTTATTCATAGCAAACTTTGCAACGCATCTTTCGATTAAAAATTGTTAAATGACGATTTTCAAATAATAAATCAAAGATGATTACTTGAATTGAATTTAATAATTCGACTCTATTTCAAATTTTCAACACAAGTTCAACTAAAATTCAATTTAACTCCTCTCACTCATATGATTAAATATAAAAATATAATGATATTCGATCCATGAGTAATTTTCTAGGGGGAAAAAAGACACCTAAGGGTGGCAGGATTCCCAAGCCCATTCATCCATCCTGCTTTTACCCTTAAATAAAATTTTTAGGAGACATGATAAAAAGTTGATGAAACGTGGTTGAAAATTTTTAAATCTCATAAAATATGTGGTTAAAATTATTTATATTTTTGACTAGTAATTTTAATTTGAATTTAATGTGCACTAATAAGTGTATTTTATACATGTATTTGAGCCTTTAAGTTTTACAATTTATTTGTTATTTTGACGAACTGTGGTTTAACTCTAAGTGTGTTGTGTTTGTTAGGTACAAATCGACATAAATGATAGAATGGAGAAAAATGAAGAAATAAGCACTGAATATTGCAAGAAAACTAAAGTTCAGGGATTGAAGTGCCGATAATTAAAAGATGGATCGGACAGAAGAACGAATATTTGAGAGTGCTAAGACTCAATTGAACGTGAATCGACGTCAATGAGATGAAAAACAATTGAAGAAGACCAAAACGCACTTGTGGAAAACTTCAGGGACCAATTTGTAAAAAGTGGCACCCAAGTCATAGCCAGGCACGTGCTTTGGTTCTGCATTTCAGGCACTAAAACGCACTTGTGGAAAACTTCAGGGACCAATTTGTAAAAAGTGGCACCCAAGTCATAGCCAGGCACGTGCTTTGGTTCTGCATTTCAGGCACTAAAACGCACTTGTGGAAAACTTCAGGGACCAATTTGTAAAAAGTGGCACCCAAGTCATAGCCAGGCACGTGCTTTGGTTCTGCATTTCAGGCACTAAAACGCACTTGTGGAAAACTTCAGGGAACAATTTGTAAAAACTGACCCCCAAGTCATATCCAGGCACGTGCCTGGTTCAGCGTTTTAGGCACATGCCTTACCCTTTCCATGAGCCGTCAGATGCTCACATTGCCCTTAAAGGGGTGCCCTTCACATGACACTAGGCGTGCACCTAGTTCATTCTCGAGGTAAAAGGATCTTTCATTTTCTCATTTTGGAATGTATGGAATGGTATCTTTAGCATCTCATATAACCTAGGCAAGGTCCAGAACGTGAATAACAATTATTTTGTTATTGAAGTGATGTCCAACAAGAGCTTTACCGAGAATTAACACAAGATATTGAAGATTTAAGGCTCAAATTGAGGAAAAGTGCAAGAAATTTATTTCTCAAGCTTCTACATCTTTTCTTTGAATTGGGTAATATGTTTTCTTAACTTCTTGTATAATTTAGATACAATTATGTTAGGCTAAAGTTATCTTGGGTATTCAATGAATAATGAAACTTTTGAGTTATATTTTTTAATTCAAGATTTGTCGTATTTTAATTATTTCTTATGTTTGTGATTATTTATGTAAGAATATTGTGTTATTTGATTGCTTAGCTATCAATTAGATAACTTGTTGCTTATTTGTAGTACTAAAATATCGTGTGTAGAATGCTTGCTTTGCATATGAACCGGACTACAAATGGAGTTGGGTTATACCTAATATATGTTTGGTTTATCTTGAAAAAGAAGATTAAATAACATAAGATTATTGATTTTCACAAACACTTGAACAACACTAAAATACGAAATTCGAAAATTAGAAATAAATGCCGATAGGTGGATTTTGAATCCAATTCACACACTTCATAATTTGATAAAACCGATCTTTTATATCACTAGTAGCTTAATTTAGGATAATTATAAAAAGAATCATCTATTTTGTGTGACAAACATCAAATTTAATACAAACTAGTAATATATAGTTAATAATTATTCCTTGTAGGATGCTATCTCAACTCATCACATTATTACTTACCAACGATCCTATACACTTATGGGTTTTGTACGAACAAATTTTTGGCACCATCACCAGAGAGTAAATTTTTTTAATTATAGTTTATTAGCTTATATTAGATTCAATTGTATTTTGTTTTAGGTTATTTATCGCTCTACGTAATTTCTCTTATACTTTTTTTTTCGTCCTTCTCAAGCGATCACAGACTTATGCAAGATTCTGGAGAGATCAAGCTCACACTATTAGATTTCGAGATTGAAAGAACCTTTTTAACTAAGCAAAAGAAAATATAAAATGGCTAGATAAATGGTTGATAATCAAAATCTTAATTAGAATCAGGTCCAAGATCCACTTCAACTGTTGCAACCATTTCAGCCACCGATGAAATCCATATATTGGTTGGGAATTATATGAATCTAGTGTCCACACTTGTGCGACCCATTATCCTCCACCCTGCTTTTGGAAAAGATAACTTTTGCCTTTGATCTGATGTTATCAACCTCTTTTAGAATTATCAAGACATCGGGTTCTTTAGAAGAGCTACAGAAAATCCACATGAGCATATAAGAGTTTTTTTGATGTTGTATGAAGTTATTAGTCATGAATGGATTTCAGCAAATACTTTTCAAATGCATTTATTTCCTCATACCTTAAAGGATGGAGCAAGAGAATGGCTCTACTCATTACTTGTTGGGAGCATTCTGCTGTGGAATGATATAGTGTAAAAGTTCACGATGAAATTCTTCCTCCAATCTCAAGTCCATTAAATCTAGAATGAAGCCCATGCATTTAAGTAAAAGGAACTCAAGAGCTATCTAGATGCATGAGAAATGTTCAATGTTCAAGGACTTGTTTAGTAAATGTCAGGATCTAGAAATTTATAATCAAGCTGATGTGAATCCAGATAGCTAGATCGCTATTAAACCCACAAAAAATAACACAAACCCCAAGAAAGCCAGAAAAACCAAAGTTTATGGAATTTGACCCAAAAATTAGTGAACCAAACAACCAATACAATCACACAATTAAAGAAATCAAACCTAGAATTTAAAGATGGACCCGAAGGATTAAATGAACCCTAGAAAATAATTGAAAAAAAAAGGAATAAATTCTAAAAATCCTAATTTTAATGGTAAACACGTCCAACATTGCATGAAATATGGAAAGAAAATAATTCTAGTGGAAATAGGTAATTCACGCATAAAAGGAAAGTTTCCCCCTAAAGTAGTGTCATGTGGCCGCATGGCAAAAATCCATGTAGTTGCATGGTTCAAATCCTAATCGCCTGCTAGTCCCCTGCCTCATGCCATGCGGTTGCATGGCTGTCCGGTTGGCTCTCCCATTGTAGCTGCCCGGTTCATTTTGATTCTCTTGCTTTTGACCTTCATCTCCAACAGCAATCTTGGCCCTTGGCTTGCCAACCTCACTCCTTTGAACTCCGTTCCTCGAACACACATTTGTATAACTTTGTTGGCCCGAACTAAGCTCAATTCTCGTCCCGATGCCTCAATTCACAATCAGTGAACTCTCGACCAACTTTGGCCTAACCAAGATCACATCACAGGCTCAGATATACACTTCTATTATGGATTATACCAAGAATACAAAAATATGATAGATATTTTAGCAGGTAGATCAGTAATGGAAAAAGATATTGATAAGGCTCATGAGCTATATGAGAGTATAGTAAAGAATTAATTTATGCAGCCAATCGACAGGAGCACTACGAGGAAATCTGTAGGTAAATATAATGTCAATGGAGTAATTGTAATAGCAAAGAAAATAGAGGTGCTGGCAAAGAAATTAGATGATATATCTCGATTTGTGAATATGGTACACTAGTCGACACCAGTTTGCATAGGTTGTGGGACAAATCATATTGCTGCCAGTTTTCCTTTAGTATCCACTCATATGATTCGGCCTATAAAGGTCAGCTATTCCAAAACTCACAGGGGCAGCAAAACAGCACTCGCTCAAACACATATAATTAGTTGGAAAAATCATCATAACTTCTCGTGGGCAAATAATTAGAGCAAGAAAAATCTAGTTCAGAGCACCTCGCTAGGATTTCAGTGGGAATAAAGGTCAACTTTGGAGGACCTACTTGTTAAGTATATTAACAAAACTGAGATTCGAATCCAGAATTATTAGGCCTCTATCCAAAAACCTAGAAAATTAGGTGGGCCAAGTCACAGCAACATTATCCAACAGACCATAGGGTGCCTTGCCTAGTGACATAGAGAAAAATCCACGAAAATAGGTATAGCTATTAGAGCTATAGAGAGTGATGTGGACTGCACACCATCTATCAAATTTGCTCCATGTAAAAGAACTTGTGTCCTATCTATTCCATTTCTCTAAAGGCTATAACCCCAGCCAAAAAAAGAATAGGTTCAGGCCATTACAACTAGGAGTGGAATTCAATCGCCAAAGATCAGCACAAGAAGGAAAGGGATCAAGAATAATCAAGTACTTACCATTGGCGAGGAAGATGTCGATCAATCTGAAGAATCAATAGAGATGAATCAAGTTAAGGCAACCATTCTAGTCAACATACTTACACCTCTAGTTCTATTTCCTCAAAGTTTGTAGAACATCAAGCTGAAAATTTGCTAGAAATCCTTAAAAAGCTACGAATCAACATTCCTTTCATTTGTAAAATCTTGCAAATTCCAAACTATTTCAAGTTTCTAAAAGAGATGTTGACTAAAAAGAGAAAGCTACCTAAACATGAGACAGTTACATTATCTGAAGGGTGCAATGCAATCCTCCAACATAAGCTCCCACCGAAGATAAAAGATCTAGGTAATTTCATTCTACCTTGCTCTATAGGAGATTTACGTAACAGTAGAGCAAGTAGTAAATTGATGCCCTTAAACATTTATAGAAAACTAGGATTGTTGGAGCCAAAAGAGATATCAATCATGCTACAACTGATTGATAGGTCGATAAAAGACCCATGGAGAGAAATTGAAGACATGATCATCAAAGCTGGAAATTTCATCTTCCCTTCTGATTTCGTAGATCTTGACATTGGAGAGAATTGAGATATACCAATGATCTTAAGAAGACCATTCCTAGCAACTAGTCGAGCTTTGTTGGACTTTGAAATGTGTGAGATGATCCTAGAAGTGGAAGACAAGCAAAAAACCTTCACCATGAACACTCTACTCAAGCAACCACTCTACCTCGACGAGTGTAATGTTATCGAAACTGGAACTTGATAATTGTATTTTGTACACTTATTTGGACATTTATGTTTGAGCATTTATTGGTTATATTGATGAATTATGACTTATATGTACAGTGTTTATTGGTACAAATCGACATAAGATGGTGAAATTAGAGAAAAATGAAAAAAAGAGGACTAAATTACAAGAAGTTAAAGCTCAGGGATTGAAGTGAAAATAATCAAAAGATGGATAAGACTGAAGAATGAACATTCGAGAGTACTAGGACTCAATTGAATACGAATAGCCATCGACGGGATAAAAAAAAAATTGAAGACCAAACGTACTTCAGGGACCAATTGTAAAAATTGGCTGCAAAGTCTCAGCTAACGCATGCTTGGTTTTGCAGGTCAGGCACATGTTGATCCCTTCCTATGAGTTGTTAGAAGCGTAAATTATCCTTAAAGTCACGTGCCCTATATGACACTAAGCACGCGTCTAGTTCGTTCCTGAGGCAAAAAATTTCTTCCATTTTCTCGTTTTTAATGTTATGGAATGGTATCTTTAGCATCTTATATAACCTTGGCAAGGTCCAAAACATGAATAACAATTATTCTATCATTGAAGTTACGCTGAGCAAGACCTTTTGAGAGATTTAACATAATGAGTTGAAGATTTAAGCCTCAAATCGAAGGAAAAATGTTAGAAGTTGATTTCTCAAGCATCTACATCTATTCATTGAATTGGGTGATTTCTTTTCTCAACATCTTGTGTAATTTAGATATAATCATGTTGGGCTTAACTTCTCATGTATTCAATGAATGATGAAACATTTTGAGTTATATTTTTAATTCAAGACTTATCATATTTTAATTATTTCTTGCATTTTGATTAAATATACATGAATATTGTGTTATTTAATTGCTTAGCTACAAGTAGAATACTACATATTTGACATGCAGATACTAGGTATAGGAAATATATTTAGAACGTGTGTAATTGTGTGATTGAATGCTTGTGTTGCTTATGAATTCGAATTAGAAATATGGTCGGGTCATGCTTAAGATATGTTATGTTTGGCTTGGAATAGAAGATTAGACAATATAGGATTATTGAATGTCACGAACACTTAGAGAACACTACATTACGAAATTCGAGAGTTAGAAATAAATGATAATCGGTGGATTCTGAATAGCTGATACGCGCATTTCATAATACGATAAAAGCTAATCTTTTATATTATTAGTAGCTTTATTTAGGATCATTAAAAATAATCAACTTTTTTGTGCAACACAACAAATTTTATACAATTAGTAATCTATAGTTAACAATTATTTGTCATGGAATGATACCTTAGCTCATCACATTATTACTTGTCAACGATCCCGTACGCATGCTAGTTTTCTCCAAACATACACTTCTACCATCAAATTGATCCATTTCACCATAATAATTATGATATTTGATAATTGGTTAACTATCTTAATTAACTCAAAGTGTAAGTAAATTGTCACCACAATTTCTCTTAGTTGCACGACTTTTTATTTTCATTACAAGCACCCAATCTTTGCTTTTTATAGCGCTTATGTTTTAAATGTTTTTCATAACGTTTTTATCATCAACATTTCATTAATTATAAAATCTTATTCTTTATGATGATTTATATCCATAAAGTGGTGTAAGAAGACTTATTTATCCTTCATAGTTTATAAAAATATAGCAATTAGAAAAGAATGGGGATTTTTACTATAATTAAAAAGTGGTGCAACCAGAAAATAATTTAATGTCAATGTAGCCACTCTTAACTGAATTACCTGTGTACGAAATGGCCAAAGCGTAAACCTTTCCCGCTCCTCCCTACCATAAACTAGCCAAATTCAACCAACTAGCCATTGTGATTTTACACCCTAATTAGGTTTTGACTAGTCTAAGATTTCCACATCCCTTTAGTTTTAAACACCGTCAGTTGGATTTTACCCTTGCAAAGAGTTTTTTTTAGCCGAGCTTGATTAGTCTAGTTGATAAATTCTATTATCCAGTTGATTTTATAGGGGTGTTTGATCTACCTGTCTGCCAGCTATTGTAATGGCTTTTGCTTCTTCCAAATCTAATTTCTTGAAAAGAGAGAAAGGGATTAAGTTAATGTTTACTTCTTTAAGTCACACAATGCTTTATCTATATATTTGTTACACAATGCTTTATCTATATATTTGCTACCAATACTGCAAGGCTTCTGTAAATGGTAAGTTTTTAAATAGCTTCTTGAACATATCTAAAAACATTCCGAACTACTTATCAAGCTTGAACTTCTACCGTCACCGTTGGAATGGAATCGGACATACATAATCTTTGACAGGAATGGTTGCTCTAACCCGTCGATTGTCTGAAAGACTCCATTTGATTTTCTTTTGTGGTTTTGTTAGACTGATCCACTTGTTCCTCACCTTAGGCACCTTTTTTGTAATAATAGCAAGCTGTTTCATGTGTAATTCTTGTAACTGACCTCCACTACATAAATTGATGGCCTTTACCTATTCTCTAGAATTTATCTCTGTGTTGTTAGGCAAGGTCCCTTGGGTTGTACTTGATAAAGTGGCTATTATCTTTCCCATTGCTGCTCTAAAGTCTAGATAGATGCGTGCTGGTTTTAAAAATTAGTCTCAGTCTTCATGATATATTGAGTGAGCAAGTGTTCCGAAAAGGACTTTTTATCTTGAGGTTGTTGTTGATGCTAGAAACATGGTGGTCTACTTTTCATAATTATCTCATTGTCACTGTCCTTGATTGTTGGTCCACAAAAAATTAGGATTATTCCTCCACGAAAAATTGGCTCTCACCCTAATCAAATCCTCCAAGAAATTGAAAACATATTTTCAGGCTCATGACATTGAGATATTAACCCATTTTTCGTTGAAGCAAGTTCTACATGAACCCAACGCTATCAGAAGGCTAAAAAATGGGCAAGTAAGCTCATCTAGTTTGATATCGTTTCTGACCTAAATCTACTATCAGGGATCCAGCACTGGCTGGATTTTTTTTTTCCTCCAATTTTACCTGGGAAACTCTAATTACCATGGATTTAGAGATTTTGCAGTCTTCGGAATAGAGGCCATATAAATTGGTTTTTGATGGCTAGTTCAAAGAGTCACGATTAGAATGGGATAGTCTTAGTAAGCTCGAATGGACATCACCCGATCTGCACACTAAAGTTCAGCTTCCGTGCTTCGAACAACTTAGAAGAGTATGAGGTACTAATCATCGGGCTTAACTTGCCAAAAGAGATCCAATAAAAAGAAAAACAAGTCAATAACAAATCTTAGCTCGTCGTAAACTAGGTGAATGGTAGCTTCATCGATAAGGACGTGAGCAAGGCTGCATAGAAAATTATTGAACGCAAAATCTGGCAACATATTGAACACAAAACTCGATAATAATTTGAAAATTATTTTGGCATTATTTAGAGAATGAAAGGATTAGATATCAATTATATGGTATAGATTTGGAATGAAGAAAGCGGAATTAGAATGGTCCTATTTATAGATTTTCACGTATATATTCAAACAATTGGATATTTTGATCTAAATAAATGTGGCCCATTATATCACACATTGTCATATTTAATGTTACAATTTGTACCCTATCAAAAAGCCATAACTTTTCATTATTTACATTTTCTAATAGTCATACTCATATTAAAACAACATGAATCTTTGATATGCACCATTTGCAATTGAAAAATCAGGTGCACAAATTATATTCCTTTTAGACAAATGTACATACATGAAAAGATAATAAAATTGTGATGTGTGAAAAATTTCAGATAGAATTTTGACTTATCAATACCAAGATATGCATACAAGTTTTGACTCACTGAAACATAAAAATTAGGAGGAAGCTATATAAAATGTGAGGTGTGTGGATACAAATCTCCTTGAGAGAAATTTCAGCCCCTAATTGTAACATGATTAAATTGACGTATGTCTTCCAAGATATAACACTCCTAAAATAAAAATATTATAACATTGATTTTGACAGACGAACCAATGCTTGACTGTCTTCTTCTAGAATGAAAAATATCGAATGTTACATATTGAATACAAACTCGAAAAGAATTTGAAAATTATTATTACATAATTCGGAGAAGGAAAGAATTATAAATTAATTATATGAGATTGATTTGAAGTAGATAAATGAAATTAAAAATGTCCTATTTATAGATTTCCATGTCTCTCTTTCAATGATTACATCTTTTGGCATCAATAAATGTGAATCATTAGATGACACCTTTTCATATGTAATGGAGTAGATTTCACCCTATTAAAAAGTCATGACTTTTTATCATGTACCTTTCTGAATAATCACACCCATTTTGAAACAACAAGACTATTTAATATACGTCCTTTACTATTGAATAGTCGCAACTAGTCATCTCACTAATTAAAGACTTTTACAATTCACCGGAATAAAATTTATTCCATAAATTTCAATAATTCCCTACATGAATAGAAGAAGTCGACTTAAAAAAAAAAAAGAAAAATAAAGAAAAGTACTAATAAATATAATGCCGTAGGATCGGTGGTTTTCACATTGAATCTTCCTTACTAGAAATCTATCAGGTTCACTAGGCTAATCACGTTTTGAACTACCTACCATTTTGTCAAGCCTAGAAAATAGATCAAACATATTATCTTTTATAGTAAACTTTGGTGTCGTATTATGTTCATTATTTTAGCCCCGAAACTTCTTAGTTCTGCCAATGTGCAAGAGAATCCGTTAGGTAAAATTCTCATAGAACTAGTCATATTCGAATTCATATAGGTGATAATCTATAAAGAGTAGCCACAATATTCCGCTTGTACTAACAAGATATAGTCACC